ACAAATAGATGCAGGGATGCTTATGTAGGCTTTATATGTAGATATATAGATATGTATATGAATGTATGTTCATATGTATGTATGTATGTATATAGGCGTAGGTATGGGTATATATATTTATGGAAACTTACTGCAAAGCCATGAATATTTTAAGTTCTTTATACATATGTATTTTGTTGCTGTGTTTTGTCATGTTCTTTGCAGGTGAACAGACAGTGGCCGGGTGTTTTGCCATGTGCTCTCTTTGTATATATTTCTTATATTTTGGCTGATGAAGTCTTTTGGATGAAATACTAAATGTTTCAAAACAAAGAAACAGTCCAGGGGACCTGACTTAACTTTGTTGGATAACTTGTGTGTTTACATACCGTCAAAGGTCAAAGGTCAAAGGTCAAAAAGGTGAGTTCACACAAGTTTTGTGTGAACTCACCTTTTTGACAGAGGTTTCCCATGAAGCCTGACTTGCAGTCGCACAAACCGGTTTGCTTGTTGCAGGAGGCCCCATTGTCACAGTCAGGACAAGCATGTTGGCACCTTAGTCCCCAGAATCCATTGGGGCAGTCTGGGAAGCAGCAAGTTAATTTCAACTAAATGGAACAGTAAGTAATTCCTGTTGGTCATTTCAGGTAAACTCCTGCAGTCAGTCGTGCTTAAAACTGTTGAAAATTTGCAAATCGGTTCAGCAAAAAGGAAAAGTGCATTGTTGTTCAATGACTTACAAATATGGTAAATTTATAATGTCAGTGAGTTTAAACTAGACCTCGTGGACTTGTGTTTTCTCTTCAAACTATTATTAAAGCACTGTGTGACAAGATAAATACCTTCTTGACATGAATTTCCTGTCTTCCCAGCTGGACAAATGCACTCTCCAGTTACAGGATCACAGGGAGCTCCTTGGCAGTCGCAGGTCAGGCGACAGTTTTCACCGTAGCTTCCTGCTTGACATGCTGATAATAAACAGGCAGAAGAAAATTAAAAGCAGAGCGAGACAACACAGTAGTCAGTCATGGTGAAACACAAGAGAAAACGGCTGCAAATCACTGAAACGAGAACTGCACAAGTGAAAACTCTGAGAAAGTTTACTTGTACTTCAGCCAAAACCTTCCGAAGGAGTGACCAAAGTAAATCATCCCTGTCAGGATCCAACATGCAACTTGAGCTTCAGAAAATCCAGAAAAAATAAATTATACACTTTTTTCAAGGTTTTTAGATCAACTCAGCTGGGCCTTTGCTCTCTGTAATAACGCTGACATATTTTAGAGTAATTCTGCTCTGTTATTTTAGCCCAGTCACAAATCAAATTTCATCTCATAAAAAAAAAAAAATCATCAACACCCGTTGGAACACGGAAAAGAGGGTTGAACTTTTCATCAACTTTCAGCATAAACAGCCACAGGACACCCTGCTGTGCAGGAACAGTCGTGTGTGTGATTGTGCAGCTTAGAAAAACAAGAAGACCTACACATCCAGCTGGAATCAAGACAAAGACGTATTTATTTCACCTTCTCAATGCATTTCAACATCAACAACAGCGAAGAGAAGATAACAGAGTATATGGATGTAGAAAGTGAAAACCCCTGGACCTGTTGTGAAAGTACTGAACCTCAATGTGTTACTTTGTGTTTGTGTGTGACAGAAGAAAGGGTGCACATTTGCAAACAATAACTCCAGGTGTCAACAGGTGTCTGCATGAAGGCCCACACACTTCATCTATCACACATGCACTACTGTAGTTCATGATGACAACGTTATGATGACATCAGTGTACTGTAGTTTTATTTTAATAGAAGAGAACCCAACATTAATATGTTTTGAATATATCTAAGGCCGAACATTTTATGATTGTTAAAAAAAAAAACAATGGACTTACTGACTTCACATCAACTTTATTATATATGTATGTGTGTGTGTGTGTGTGTGTGTGTGCGTGCGTGCGTGCGTGCGTGCGTGTGTGTGTGTGTGTGCAAATGTTTGTCTCACCCAGCTGACACTGATCTCCATGAAGGCCTGCACGACACCGTTTGCTGCATTCACCAGTCGTGGGGTCACATGACCCCCCACCTGGACAGTCACATGGCTGCTCACAGCCGGCACCAAAAAAGCCTGGATCACACTCTACATCCGGTTACAGGACACGGAGAAGAATAAATGATTACAAAACACACATGTGGTACGCCAAGGTCCCCTGTTGCTGAAGGACTTGGACAGTGAATCGTAGTTTTCCAGAGGAGTGTTTTTCTGGACTGGATTTTAAAGGGGAATGCAAGTGAAACATAATGTTGTTGTCCTGATGCTGCTCAATAGTACAGGTAAATAAATCTAACAAGGATGAGTCACGTCCTCTGGACAGATTCTTCTTTGTTGCAATGTTTCATCTTTTATCCAATCATCTTACAATTCTGTTACTACATCATTCAGCTCTCTGTAAATAGCAAGCAGCCATCAAAGCAAACAATCAATTGTTAGGCTGATGGTCCTCCTTTTGCATGTGAACAACTAGTTCTGGATGTCACCAGTAAACTGGTTGATCCACTATGAGAAGGGGCTATTCATAAGACCGAGTTTGTTGCAGCTCCTCAGACTGATGAAGCCTTTTGGATAAAAGACGAAACATTTCAACAAGAAGAATCCATCCAGAGGACCTGACTCAGCCTGGTTAGATTCATCTACCTGTCTGTCTAAAACATGTCTCACTTGTAAAAGAGTCTCCGAGGCTCAGTGTGATTAATCTGTATAAATAAAGGTCGAATGAAAAAGAGCTCTGCAAAGCTTATCTGAATCTGCAAAAAAGAATCAGAACTTTATCACATTCATACACTGATGGGACACACATAGGATACAATGAGGGGTTCAGTGTCTTGCCCAGGGACACTTTGGCATGTGACTGCTGGTGGAATCGAACCCCCAACTTTCACATTGGAGGACTCTAACCACTCAGCCACAGCTGCCCTTAAATAATAATAGATAATGTTTGTGGTGAAAATATTCTAATGGATAAGAGTTATTACACACACTGTGTAGAAGAACAGCGTTGTATTTTTGTCTGAGGTTGTGCAGTGACAGAGCGGGGGGAGCCTTTTTATCCATCACCAGGTGCAAAGGCGGAGCCAGGGTGTGGCCAATGGTGGCCTTGGTCGCCATAGATTATTCTTTGGCCTCCACACTGGCCACCCCAGTCATTTGAGGCAACTATACTTTTAAGCAATATAAAAACTAGAAAGCAAGTTTACGGTATGTATCTATGTATGTATATGGAAGCGGCCATCTTTGATTATGACCTGGCAACCTAATTTTTGAAAGAAATCGTTCTTATTTTTATGTCTGGATACTCCTACACACCAAAATAAAACTCGGTACCTTGCTTATTTTTCAAGTTGTCGTACTCAGAATATGCACGGACGGACAGAACTATGTCCAATTCTCCATTTTGACTCCACAATGGGAGAAAAAAACATTTTGTGAAAGTCTGCTAAAAGACTTTGGCGTCTTTAACAACTTTTCGGTTATAGACCATTAAATCAATACAACCTTTTAAGGAAACAGACTATTACCCCACAATGAGGTTGTACAGTACTACTTGAACCGACAAAACTTGATTTTTTTTTTCAAAATTTCATTCTTTTAATTTGTCAACCCTGTATTGTGACCTCTAAAACACCTTCCAGCTGAGTCAACTGGGGAGGCTAGCTCACCTGAAAGTGTTTACATTTCAGTTAAAACATAAATGACGCTCGGTGAAGAGCTCAGACCTTTTTCACACCGCAGACCGTGGTGCGCAGCCTTACAGAAACAGCTCCCAGTTTTGGGGTCACAGGCAGAGGAATGTTCTTGGACACAGTCACATTCTTTGGAACAGCTCGCACCATGGGTCCACCTGGGACAAGCTAAAGGGTTGGTCCAAAACACAAAGTAGTGTTTATTGAAGCAGTTCAACACTTTAAAAACAAATAAAATAAATTCTCATGACAACTTCTGTTTGGTAAAGTTTAGCTGGTAGCAGTGGTGTAGTACGTCTTTGTAGTGGGTATACTGTGCTTAGAAACCAAAGTACACCGGTGTAATCAGCAATTTTGATTGTTAAACACAACGAACATTTCAAAATTTCTTTGATGCTTATATTTGAATAAATGTTCAACAAACTTTGTACAACAGTTGGCTCTGTATTAAAAACACGCTACAGAATTTATAAAAGTATTAAAGCAAAACATGTTCAAGTATTAAGTAGTAAGTACAGAAGTATTAAGCATACCATAATTTGCTGGATAAGCGAATGTAATAAACAAGTGCAGACAGATTGTTACGGAAGCGTTTAACTGCCATTTAACATATCAATGACATGTGCCTAATGATATGTCATGTATCACTGGGCACTGTTAAGTGGGTATACTGCAATTCTCAAGCTTTTCTAGTGGGTTTACACCGTATGCCCACGTATCACGTACACCACTGGATGGTAGCTAGGAGCAGAAAATAATCTCAACTATTGAATTTCATTTGCAGTACGAGACAAATAAATCCACCATGTCATCATAATGAAAGATTTTGGACGGTCCGAGTTTGACCAACTTTACTGACATTCCTCTAAATCATGCTGCACTGTTCATATGAATATCTTTGTTTTTTCCACCTTAGTTTGAGTTGACAAAATTTTCTGAAATAATACTGACGCATTAAAAATCAAGCACATACTCCAGGAGAAAGGCTTTTAAATACTCAAGCGCCGCACCATCCAAATCACTGAGGCTGAATCTTGGCAAAACTTGTCCCACCTCATCAATAAACGCTGAACTGCACTCCACCCTGTCCCTCTCGACACTGGCTTCGTGTTAGGTACAGCTGCAGGCTCTGGTTACACCCTCCCCACCCTCTCGTTGTCCCACTGCAGCGTGGAACAGACAGCTGCTGATAATTTTTGTGCACATTCTTCCATCGGTCAGTTTAGTCCTCGAAGTCTGGGCAGCTTTAACCTCAAAGAATAAAAAAGCCAACCCTCTCCCAAAATGTCCATCCGGAGGTTTTGGAGCACTCCTAAAACGCTAGGAGACGTCAATGGGGTGACAGAGGAGCTGAAGAATCTTTACTACAAGAGGCTGCTGCCGATAGAGAAACACTACTCCTTCCATCACTTTCACTCACCGAGCTACGAGGATGCAGACTTTGACAACAAGCCGATGGTGCTGGTGATGGGTGAGTACTCAACAGGAAAGACAACTTTCATCAGGTATGACGTGCAGCTGATAGTGTGTTTGAAACCTCAAGGATGGCACTTGTGTTGGTTTACACTGTGTGTATTCTTAGGTATCTCATAGAGGAAGACTTTCCTGGTAGCAGAGTTGGTCCGGAGCCAACCACTGACTGCTTCACAGCCCTCATGTATGGAGAAAAGACTCAAACCATTCCTGGGAATGCCCTAACAGTGGATCCAAAAATGCCCTTTCGCAACCTTGATCCATTTGGAAACTTGTTTCTAAACAGGTGAGGTGGAATGGGCAGGTAAAGAAAGCCTGAGAAATAAAAGAAGAAGAAAAGTGTGTCTTTTCTAATCTGTTAATGTTGTCTGTCACTGCATGTGCATTTGAGATGCCTGAACCCAAACTAATAGATTAAACCTTGTGTTTTTCTTTGCAGATTTCAGTGTGTCCAGATGCCAAATCCAGTCCTTGAAAGTATCAGCATAATTGACACACCAGGCATCTTAACAGCTGCAAGAAGAAAACTTAGCCGAGGTGAGACAGAATGCTTACAATGATGCTGTTGGTGTTAGAAAGCATTGTTAAATCTTTGCTTCCAGGTAATTAGGGATAAACCAGTGGTGTATTCCATGTGATACACAGGCATATGGAGTATACCCACTAGAAAAGCTTGGGAATTTTAGTATACCCTAAAAGTGCCCAATGACACGTGACATATGAATGGGCATGTGTCATTATCAACACATTTGGAACATTTTATGGACACATTGAGTTGGTTAAACCTGTTTTTTGTATAATTAATACTTCAGTACTTACTACTTAATACTTACTTTGATACTGTTTTATAAGATCTATAACATGTTTTTAACACAAATCCAACAGTTGTACAAAGGTTGTTGTACATTTATTCAAATATAAGCATGAGAGAAATTTGGAAATGTCCAATATGCTTAAAAATCATAATAAATTGACAATTACATTGTACTAACCGGTGTACTTTGGTTTCTAAGCACAGTATACCCAGTACAAAAATGCAGACTACACCACTGGAATAAAGTGTTATCAAAGCATTACATTTCAGTGAGAAAAGCCACATGAAAAGCTAAATTAAATGGGAATTAATGGCCTAATGTAAAACACTTGGAGGAAAGGAGCTACATTGTTTTTAAAATGCATTTATCTGTGGGTGTAACTAAGATGGCTTGAAACCAGTTTGGACCACTGGGATGACTTACATGGTCATGTATTCCTGCAGGCTGCTTGGTTTTCACCCTTACACACTGCTCTAATGAAAACCCCGTGTTTCCTTATGCTCAGGCTACGACTTCCCAGCTGTACTGCGCTGGTTTGCAGAGCGTGTGGATCGGATCATCCTCCTGTTTGACGCTCATAAACTGGACTTCTCGGATGAGCTCACCCGGGCCTTTGGGGCTCTGTACAGCTATGAGGACAAGCTGCGTGTGGTTCTCAACAAAGCTGACACAATAGACTCTCAGCAGCTCATGAGAGCGTATGGCGCCCTCATGTGGTCACTGGGTAAAGTGTTTCGAACCCCTGAAATCCTGCGTGTTTATATTGGATCTTTCTGGTCGGAGCCGAGGCAGGCGTGCGATCACTACCAGCTGATTGAGCTAGAGGAGGAGGATCTGCTGGCTGATGTGAGGAACCTGCCACGCAATGCAGCAGTGCGCAAGCTGAATGACTTGGTGAAGAGAGCTCGCTTAGTCAGGGTAAGAACCTTAAATCTAGGACTGCATTCACAAACACTGTTTTTACAGTAATTTCTTGCCTGGTTTGTTCTCTTCCCAGGCTCATGCACACATCATCAGCTTTCTGAAGCAGGAGATGCCAAGAGTTTTTTGCAAAGAAAGAAAGAAGCACAACCTGATATATCAGCTTCCTGTGATTTTTAGAAATATCCAGCAGCAGCATCGAGTCCCAGCTGGAGACTTCCCAGACTGCACCAAGATGCAGGTCAAACAAAATGTTTTACTAACTGCATGACTACAACAGTTTATACAATGTATTCACTGTAAAGTGTTGTGTGAACCTCACAAGACTGTATCCATGTTTTAGGAAAAACTTTTGGGTCAGGACTTCTCAAAGTTCAAGAAACTGAAGCCCAGCCTGATGGCTTCTTTAGATAAACTCCTGACCTCAGATGTAGCCAAGCTGGTTCCCTTACTCCAACTGCAGGAGGAGAAGAAGAAATCCCTCCCCAGTGTGTTGGATGGAGAATTTTTAGGAACTTTCAGGCGTGAGCATTTCACACAAGACCCATTTAAGGAAATCGCCAAAGACGACGAGAGCAGCGAGATGGATTTGGACGAGTGGGCTGTGGAGAAATACAAACCCAAATACGATGAGATTTTCTACAGCCTGAGTCCTCGTGACGGAAAACTCAGAGGCACCAAAGCCAAAGAATGGATGACAACCACTCTTCTGCCTCATTCTGTGCTCGCTCACATCTGGAGGCTGGCAGATGTTGATAAAGACGGCATGTTGGACGATGAGGAGTTCGCTTTGGCGGTCCATCTTATTGAGGGAAAGCTAGAAGGACACTGGCTCCCTAAAGAGCTTCCCTCTCATCTGGTGCCACCATCCAAACGGCCGAATACACCGAGTGACGCATCAGTTTAATCCTTGTATACAAAACCATGAATATCTGAAGAATAGTCACGTAAATGTGTACTAAATGTTCTTAATATAAACTATACATGCATACTTGTAATATTGTTCCTAATGTCACTAAAACAACAATCGTGCTAGTAATTCTTTCATACTTATTAGCACAACACAATCTGTTTGTATTTTATATTTCACCCACCTAGATGGCAAAAACGGCCATATAATCCTGGAGAGCAGAAACAAGCTCCATACAAACGATGGCAGGGTCCGTTGTTGGGACAAGTGCACTTTCTTCTACAGTGCCTTCCAAAATACCCCCGAGGACAACCTGTTAGTACAAACAATGCCAGAAAGTGTGTTACACTTTAAAAATACAATCTCTGTTTGTCACAAAATCATTTTTTCGAAGAAATAACAAGTTTTTTGCGAACCATTTGAAGTCACTCAGTAATGAAAGAAGATTTTGCTTGATGGTGACGTTTGTTGTCATTTGTAAAACATTCAAATTGAAACCTTTTCTGTGACGTTATAAATATTGTATGCTTTGTAAACCTTTGTAATTTGTGTTCATTTATATTTTACAGTGAAAGTCTAACACTTAAATTAAGGATCCACTTCCAAATGTTTATTGCAAGACTATTGAACTGGTGGCCCAGGGGCCAAATCAGGCCCACTGGTGAACTCAGTTCGGCCCACCAATGGGTTCATTTTTAAATAAAACTAGATTGTAAACCATAAAACAAACTTATTTAATGACATTAAGTGCTGGATGTCCGGCCCCTGAGCTCATGTCTTTCAATAACAGTGCCCCCGTTGAGAAATCTAGTTGAATAGCCCTGCTCTATTGCGTGCTTGTCCACTCCTGTGTGTATTTTGAAACAATCCCAGCTCCTAGCCAATTTCAGTTTTTATTCCTAGCTTTTTTTTTTATTATTATTATAAAATTTAACTTTTGTACAGTGAAAGCCTATTCTCCTCTAAATCTCAGTGTGGAAGTCAAGTCTGTGTGTTCCACTCTATGTGGAAGTCAGCTCTGTTTGTCTTCCATATAGATTTTAAAACCAGTATGATGGCCACACAGAGGACTGAGTGCTACTCACAATAACAGCATAATAAGAGGGGGACAACTGGACATGGAGGCTTCCTTCCCCATTTAACGATGGGAGGGTTGGCTTTACAAAGATGACTTCTTTTACTTTAGCAAGCAGCCATCAGGGCACTGACGGTCATTAGGTTGATGGTTCTCATTTTGCATGTGAACAGCTAGTTCTGGATATCACCAGAAAACTGATTGATCCACCATGAGAAGGTGCTATTTATAAGACTGAGTTTGTTGCAGCTCCTTAGACTTAAGAAGTCTTTGGAATAAAAGAAAAAATGTTTCAACAAAGAAGCATCTGTCCAGAGGACCTGACTCAACCTGGTTAGATTTATCACATTGTCTATCGCACTGACTGAGCTGACTGCTCATTTTTGTGTTGTCTAGTTCGCTGTGGTGGTTATTTTGAAGTGAGTTGACTCAAAATAGCAGTTTAGTCACACAGTAGATGTATATCCACTGATTACTTTTGAATTGACCTCTCTAAGTGGCTTTAAACATCTGTTAAGTTTGATGGGAAAAACCAATGCAGACATGTTCTTGTTTTTAGTTTTCTACATCGCCTTACAACCTAGATGTTTTTTTGTTACATTTTATTTTCACTTGTTAAAAAAAGAAAATCTCAATTTGTACGCATCCTTTACAATCGTCTATTATTGTCTTTGTTGTCCACTGTTGTCATCACTCTTTGTTAAAAAATCAGGTCACTCTTGTAAAGGAGTCCTCGAGGCTCAATGGGATTAACCTGCATAAATAAAGGATGAAGGAATGAGTGAATAGTTTTAATAAAAAAAAGTTTGGTATTAGATGGAAACACATACATACACACACAGGTAAAAAACATTATGCCCCAAGTTTGCTATTCTGTTGTGAGTAATAAAGAACAGTTAAATTTAAGTCAGCTTTGCTTAGTCCATTCTTATTTAGTCTCTCACAGTCTGCATATGCATTCACTTTTATTGACTTTTTCTAAAAAAGCTCCCTCACTGAAAATTAATTGAAACTGTTGATTAGGAAAAGTTCAATCCCTAAGCACTAGTTGCTTTTAAAATGTCATGTTTTGTCTGAGTTTATTGGTCACAAGACAGTGTTTAATACAGAGTCAGCAATTTGAAGTGAAAAGCGTGAAGGAGAGACACCACAGGGCTTTGGAAAGATTAAAAATACACAAAGGTTTATTGTTCTTACTCTCAGTGCAGGTAGTTCCAGTCCAGCCTGGCAAACATTCACATCGGTCCCTGCTTTCACTGCAGGCTCCGTTCACACAGTCCTCACAGGTCACACTGCAGTCATCCCCAAAGGAGCCACTGAAACACACTGAAGAGGAAATGATAAACTCAGAGTAACTCTTCTTGTGTGAAGGTTTACTGAAAGAGCATTATATGGTATATATGTTGACCAGGCTCTTACATCAGTGCAGTCGTTAACACTGTTCATCGTACCTATGTGGTTTTCCAGTCTCAGCTCTCCTCTGTGCTCCTCATGGGTTTCTAAATCTTCTTCATGACGAGCATCATCGTCATCAATGCTGGAATGGGAGTGCAGAGCTGCCGTGTACTGCAGGAGCTGAGGAGCATTTCGAAAAAGCAGGTCTGGTAGTCTGTCAACCTGCAGCTGCTCCTCTTCCTCTTGTTCATCCTCATCCTCCTCCTCTTCTTCATCTTTGTCATACAGAGCTAAACACACAGAGTATAACGTAAGGCTTGTGATAAACATTTATCCTACCTACTTGCCATTAAATGTGACAAATTGTTGTGTCCTGTGCAGCATTTACTTTGACAAACTTGTTACTCACAGATGCACGAGTGCCGGTCCTGTGCCAGGCGGAAACCCTGCCGACAAAAACACTGATATGTTCCCAGCGTGTTGACACAGTAGTGTTCACAGCCTGAGCTTTCTGCCAGACACTCGTCAATGTCTAAAGAAAAAAATAATAAAATCAGAGTCAGAGAGTCAGTCAGAGTCAGAGTTTCTTTATTGTCATTCGCACCTCATGTGGTAC